CAGTGTAGATGTGTTGCAGGACGCGCTGCCAACTGAAAGCCGGCAAGTGACGAACTTCGAGCACAAAGTAGAAGCGCTGAAAAACTTGACCTATAACAACAGGTGCTCAAGGATTATACCCGATCAACTATTCTATATGCAGTGGTTGTTTTCTCCCACAGGAACCAAGGCTCAATACTTTTGGCGCGTAGTGTACCCTAAGTTCTCTGTTTCTCTGTTACTATCTCTTCCTCTCTCGCTGTCGCGCGCGCTCCCCATCAGCAACATTGGCGAGATACCCCCCACTCCCTTCTGTAGCTCATCCGTGTTCTCTACTACAAGCGTGAGGTGAGAATTATCTGTCCTACAACTCACCANAGGGCGTCGAAGCCGCCGCAGGTTTCGCCAGCGTTTCCAGCGCAGGGGTAGGTGCAGGCGGTGGAGGTCTCGGTTGTCCCGAGCGATCCTGTGCACCAGCACTGGACGAGACGTGATTTTGGGGAAGAGGAGGGCAACATGCGAAGAGGGAAGAGCAGGGCTTTGGTGAGCGAAACGAGAAACTTGACCTGGAAAGGTATGGCGCTGCTTTGAAGGCTGAGTCGTGTCGAGCCCCTTGAGTCATGCTTACCCGGACGACATGGGGCTTAGGTCATGGTGGTCAAGTGCCAGGGTCGTCTGTTCTCTTCGGATGTCGAATCGAGCGAGGACGAAAGACAAGTGACCAGGATCAGCACCACCAACAAAGGCAACGGCATCATATCAACAGGAGCGGTACAAAGGGCCGCAACAAATACAATAGCCGACGCTACCCACCTCTTCCCCGTACTGGGTGCCGAAGTGGGTGTACGACGAGTCCATTTCAGAGCAAATCCCGAGGCAGATCTGTCAAGGAAAGACAAAGGCGGGGGGTTGGACGAGCAGGGAGACACGACTCCATGAACGCAGCATCCCGCTACGTAGATAGGGGAGGACACGTTTCTAAGGATAAGCTGGAGCGTCGGATCAACCACATTCACCTCGGAGGTCGCAGCACGTGCAACAACACGGAACATTCCACTCACATGCACGAGGCTCGCGACCTACATACCCGACTTGTGTGCGGGATCCTAGCCGGACAAACGACTGTGGGGTATAGCTCGTTGTTTCACCTGAGGGTCAGCCACCCAAGGTCTACAGGAAAATGCCTCCAAATCACAAACGGAGAAAGGATTGGCAACGAAATCATCGTCCCGTAATCCGCAACACATACCTCCGCGGACATGGTGGCGGCCGACATCGGTCCCTCAGACATCACCTGCGAGTCGAAGAACGCGAGACCCGACGGGATTAACTTGAAGCGCAGTCGCGATTCAAAGAACATGAAGTTCGGTAAAGCCGTCCTGCGGAACGAGCCGGCACTCAACTCCGCGGTTTTCATAAGCTCCAACACAAGATAAAAAAATAACACCATCCCGTAGGGGGGGAAGAGAGGGTGCTCAGCTATGATTTCTACACGGATCACCTCCAGAAGACTGGCCTCACAGACGAAACAAGCCGGGATCCTCCTGTAAAGAAGGAGGTTCTGCCAACATATAATGAAACGCTGGGCTCTTGCTTATTGAGCGTGTGCCCCACCAACTCTCTTTTTCGGTTGCGCTTTCATGTTCTTGTGGTTGCGAGTGACACTGAATTTACCATTGTTTCTTTCCCACTCGCCACTCCATCATCTTTCCCATCGGCACGACACCCAATCCCTCTTCACTGGCTACAAGCCAGCATCAAGAGAACATCTATGTCTCCTACAGCTCCCAACCACCAATCCTCAAAACGTAAATCCATTCCCTTACTCCCTTGTCTCACCCGATCGTCTTGGCTGTCGGCAACGCATCCGATAAGCTCGGAGCCGACGGGAGGGTCGCCGGAGTCGTCGTCGCCGCCACCGGTGCTGCCGTCAAGGGAGTACACCGAGATGTGGTCGTCGGTGCCGCACAGCACGCGGGAGTCGCCGGAACACAGGTACTTGTACTCGGGGACGTCGCCGCCGAACGTGATGTCGATGCCGCACACGGAGCCCCCGTCGCCGTAGACATCGTCGGTAGGGCTGCCCACCAGCTCGTCGCCGCACAGGCACTGGAGAAAGGGAGGGGAGGCATGGGTGGTCATGGCGGATCAATGGGGCGGGAGAAGGCGGGGAGACACTCACGATGATCATACGGCGCCTCTACGTTTTGTGTGGACGTTGGCCAAGGCCGGGGTGAAGCGACTCGTTTTTCTGGTGGACAGTTCATATCCAACAAATTGACCGCGGCGTGGGGGGGGCAACATGTTGGCTACCTTACGAATTGCAAGACAGTACGTCTATGCGTAGCCGCCTGCAATCCAGAACTGCCCTGACACGTACGTATCCCTTCAAGGTCTGCTCTTTCAAGGTACGGATGATGACGAACAATGCGAGCATTGGTTTCGGGCCTCTCACCTTGACCGCGGACTCGAGACCGAAGTACTGCGTTCCTTGAGCTGTGCAGGTGGCCGCGCATTTCTGTGACAAGGCAAGACCACCAGATTGACAGACGATTTACTGGATGTATTCATGACGTGTTTTGATCGCTTGCAACACGACAGCAGCCGTTACTATTCAGGCGAAGGGGGCATCACGCTACGGTCGGTCACCGCTTCGACGACGAAAATTTGATTTTCCGATGCATGTGAACGGGAGGCTAATGCTGGACGTGTGCACGCATGTCGGCAAACCTCTCGGCGTGGGTAGAAACCAACTAGCTGGATGAGTTCGAAGGCAACACCAACCGCGTAGTCTCCTCCCTTCAACGTGCAGCAACCCATCATCCGGCAAAAAACACGTGTCGTAAAAATACAACAGAATGGTTCGACGTTTGCTCCATTGGGATCCGTACAACCTCACCTCCAGCGTCATGACCTTGTCAGCATTCACCCCGTCGTCGTCGATGCCGTCGAACATGCGGTAGTTCTCGGCCGGGTCGGCATCGTTGGCGCTACCTGTTCGCGTGCAGAAGTTAGGCAATGACTCGGTTTCGCTGGACATGAAAGCGTTGGTTTTTAAGGGTACGGTGGGGGATTCATGATCTCGTGCTGGAGTACGAAGCTCACGACAACACCCTGATAAAAACATCTCGGCCAATCAGCACACACTAGAGATACTTTTTTCTCGGCGAGATGGACGTCGACAACAGCAGTCGCAACCACAAATAACGAACAACAACACGAAGCACGAAAACAGTAGTATACCTGTGGGCCCGTCGGCGGTGCCGAATATCCCCGCGCTGTAGCACCCCTCGTACGTGATGCCGGAGGGGTGCAGGTTGCTGCATTCCAGCGGAGGGAACGGTCCCGAGTACATGACCGAGTAGTACCCCTCGGAGCCCTCCAGAGGAAAGGTGAATGTTTCCTCCTCTCCGCTGCCGGAGGGGATAGGGGCGTAGTCCAGGCTGTCGTCGAAGAAGGGAGTGTTCAGGGTGTCCCAGATGTGGTACTGCCATGCATGAGGGAGAACATGGTGAGAAGTGTAAGTCTTGTGGAGAGCGGAGGACGGGGTTGCCGAGGAACGAGGCGTGGGGTATCCTGAACGTTCTACAGTGGTACAGGGTAACGAAGACACGCACGATCGCGACAGCCGTAGGCGTGAGCCTGCACACCGTGCTCACCTCGTCAGGGCCGTACTCGACCTCCCACGCGATCTTCTCCATCGCGTTACCGCCGTTGGTGCTCTTGGAGACGAGTTCCAGCTCGTAGTTTCCCCAGGGGGCGCAGATGTACATGTCCATCTGCAGCCTACGCCACAACACAAAGTCGAATGGCAGGAAAATATGAGATTTAAGATGAGGAATGCCTGTACAAAGCGAGTTGGGCACGTACAAGCTTCGACAGCTGCAGGCCGGCACTCTGTTGCTGTACAGCGCAAGCGCAAGCAAGCGCCACCGGACATCAGAACGGATTCATGCTCGAAGCAGTTACCGAAAATTCTGCCGTTGTCATACAGCAGTTAGTGGAGATTTGGTCCGCAAGGATGCAAACTTTCTACGCATGTTGAGTGCATGTTGGCAGGCAGTGTACGAGGGGTAAAACGTGAACGTCATGCCTACAAATCATACGGGAACGACATACGTCCTTACCGGTCTCCGTCTTCGATGGAATCGCCGTCGTAAGTTACGGTTTCGGAAAAACCGTCCGTGACGGCGTTGCCGCACTCATCGGTCAATTGCCTGTGTTTTAGTTGGGGGAGGCACACAGCGACGAAAAGAGATGTGGAGGGGATGAAAATCGCGAAACGCAAGGTGTCGCTTGTCTTAGGTGAGGTGCATTCGAAAAAGAAACAGAACCACAACCTTACACGCTCGTTCTTCGAAAAAAAAACTCAAGTCTATCGGGGTGTTTGTTTTATCAGCGTTAAGGAGGGTGTTACAGTGTATCGGGGTTATCAGCGTTGAGGAGGGTGTTACGCGAGACGGGCACATTTTGCAACACTGTCATCATGATCTGGCTGCCGACCTATGCCCGGGTTGCGAGCGCGGAAGATAGTCGTTTGGCCTCGGCACGACCAGCGTCATGGAAAAATGTTTCAGAGTTGGTCGAATTTCACAGATCATCGCTGAAGCGTGCATACCTCCACGTCATTTGCATCCAAGGCGACGAGTTGTAGTCGAACCCTTCGATCTGCAGATAGCGCACCTTCCTAGCCTCGGAGTCCACTAGCGATGAACAAAGGAACGATAGCACAGGACATGACACGCGGTGTTTTGGGGTTTCAAGGGCGTATGGAAAACATCGAGAGCAAATACACCTGTGTGCTGCACATTACGCCATATCCGGACCCAACAAGGAGCATAAAAACATGCCGCAATCGGCTGTGGCTCTGCCGTTGTGGAAAAACGTTACTTGTGGAGGTTTGCGAGAGCAGTCGGGCCTACAAGAGCGATGCGAGCCGTGACGGGGAGGGGGTGTTATTTGGTGTAGCGGCAGGACGAGCATCTTCCGAGTATATTACGCGGTGCGAGCGAAGATTGGAGAACAAGAATTCCGGGACACATTTTCAAGCGATTTTATGAATGCCCAAGAGAACCGCTGCCAAGCACGACACCAATTGAGGACACACAAGGTCATGATCAACCCCACCGGCCTGCGGCACAAACGATATGACGAGAGCCTACCGAACGACACGTCTTACCGCAGTTGTTGTCGCTCTCGTAGTCGTCCCCGGTTCGCAAATCGAAGATAGCCTTAACGCCTTCGACACCCGGCACGCTCGCCAGGAAGGCTCCGGAGACCGCGGCAAGAAGCGTCATGGTAGGAGAGAGCCTCATCCTGGCCGAAGGAGCTTGAGTGAAAGAGGGAGAGGGTAAGATGTGAGAGGTTGAGGCAGGCGTAAAAAGGGAGAAGGGACGACCTGTTGCGTGAAAACGGGAAATGGAATCGAGTTATGCTTGGCAAAAAAAGGTAAGAGGGGCGATGCATAACGAACCATGTGCGCTAAAGCTGCTAGCTGACAAAGTTGAAGTTCGTAATGTTCATGCCGAATCAAGAATCTAGTGTTCCGATGAAAAATGCATCCCATGGTCTTGCCGGAAAAAATGCGGCAAACTGCTGTGAAGCCTCGTACATCGCGGAGGTATGTATGTATATATGTAGGCTGACGGAGTTCCCGAAAGCTCGTAAAATTGATATGCATTACTTGTATTGTAGTGCTTATGCCGTGCATGAGCCCTCATTATGTTGTCCAAGCATCAAGAATGAGATTTGAATGGTCAGACCCTCTCATATTTTTTTTTTCTCCCATCATCGGATTCTGTCGTCTGCCCCTCTGGCCCCTATCCTCCACTTCTACTAGCTAGACGACCCAACAGGGGTCACATAGGAGGGGGGGCTGGACCCCCTCCTGCGGTTCCTGCCTGATGTATTCCTATCGCGAGAAGGGTACAGCAATCCCTTACCTCGCGACTTACGAAGTCGACTATGGTTTACTAACAACGAGCTTTGCGACGCGTCGCTTTTATCCTAGACCAGGATATATTTAGTGAGAAAAAAACTCACTCTGCCGGGACTCGAACCCATGACCTGCCCCTTAGCAGGCTACGAAGTTACCCACTAGACCACCGGGGCGACATGTAGTGTCTCCGATGCAAACCTCCGAGTACACTTGTCCGCATACATGTCCCTATTTTCTTGTCCATTTTATTCGATATACTCGTAGCATAGCATGCGGGTGGTATATTGCGTATACATATGCGGGTATTGCAGTAACGAACTACGGAGGAACAAGAAGTTTCTTAAAGTTTTCCTTGGGAGTGTGGTAGATTGGTGGACTTTCATGAAGATTCGTTTAGGGTGTTTGAGCGTTATGCGTGACTTGATGCCGTGATGGAATGACGAGCTCAAGCGCGCCCCCGATGAATACAACAACACGTATACAACACGTTTCCCAACACGTTTTTACCCATCCAAGCCCCGTCATGGGCCACCCGCTCTAAACTCCAAGCACATCGAACTGGGCCACCCGAATTATCGATCACATTTCCCCGTTTAGACTATACAAACTGTTGGTGCACAACGCCAAGAATTATTATGGATCCAGGTTCCAGGATCACGAGTTTGCTTGTCTTATTCTAGCAGAGCTGCGTGACGAAATACCTGAGGTGCGCACTGATCTGCCACATAAACACATAACCTCGAATCACGACCAGCATGCAATGGGTACCATGACAGAGAACAGATTACAGACCATAGATTCAGGTAGAATTAGCCCGAACATCATGCAATATTTGCCGCTAGTATGCCACAACGGGAACATCCCATCCGGAGATAGAGAGATACCTACATACAGCAGTACGGTTCGACATCTCCTCTCTTGTGGTGGACGGAGATCGAAACTGGATGCTGTCGTACCGAGCCAGCACAGAAAAGTGTATACCCTCCAGACTTCTTGTGACCGACCGCGATTCACAAAAACCTACGGAACACCCGCGGATGGGACCCACAGGTTGCGGCAGCAATGTTGACAGATAGCTGCGGTAGCTTCACTATAACCGGCGCCGTGGTTGACTCAAGATCCTACCATCTGCAGCAACCCCCGACTAGAAGCTGCTACAATCTTTGACACAGCAATGCAAATGAGGACGGCTCGACGGCAGCGGTATTGGCAACATTACGCCAACGCCCGTGGGCCACAATAATATGCGAGACGAAGTTTCGGCTGTTTTTGGGTCCCCACAGCGGCAGCGCCCAGCGTGTGTGCAAGCACCTGCGCGCCGTAACGCGCGCGGCTTCTCTATACACATCCTACTTCAGCATGTAGTACTCACTTAATCTGTGTGGCGGCTTGCTTGGAAGTCTCTCGTAGATCTTGGCGGGAAGGGCTTTGGTTCCGAAAAGATGAAACGCGGCTCGGGGAAGCTCAATCGTCACCTGGGCAGAACTGGGCAGAACGAGCGCGACGAAGGAGGAGGGATGCAGCGACGAGAGACGCCGAGACGGAAGAGATTCGAAACGGCGAGCGGGCGTGTGAAGCGACACCTCGACCGTTGACCATCGATGGATGCTAAGCGTACCTCTCTCCATGAAAAGGAACCAGAAGACACGCACCTTTGCGCCGGTCGTGTATTGGTTGGCGTGTGGGTTGCTTGGCGTGTGTGTGGAGTGGGGTGTATGTGCTGGGGTTCGCAAATCTGGCGGAGAGACTTATGTAATCCACGAGTGCCACGTTGAGCCCGTACCCATGTATCATATCTGTGCAGAAAAACAATCTCCTATCGTGCGCCACAAGAAGATTCTCCGCAAATTATTAGTCTCTTCCGAATATTTTGTTCATATTCGGGGAAGACCCCGAACCCCGTGCTGCCATCATGTGTGATGAGAGAACAACCCCGAGCACAACGGAAAGAAGGTGAGCTGAAGAAGGTAGTAGGTGATATGTAGGCGTTGATTGTGGAGCATCGAGGTCACGGAAGGAGTAGGCCATGCACTTGTGGTCTTGAAAGATTCCCGAAACAGACTACTTACTGCTTGCCAGCGAGTGACTCTGTATTTGTACCGAAAAGCTATAACGCGAAATGCTGAAATCCTGGCATTGTTGTTGTTGTTGTTTTCCTTCACATTAAACTCGTGTCAGTTGCTATAATCCCAACACCTAGCGAAGACTCGGTCCGTGGTCAAAAAAATTATACATGTAGAGCCATCAGAAGATCTAAAGAACACACACTATTAGCAAGAAAAGGGTACACAAGCCCGAGGAGGTACACCTACAATCCCTGCAACACGTTCGCGTGCTCACACAACGAAGCGCTCAGACCGACCCCTGTCCTACGCCCAGGCCCTCATCCAGGCCGGCTGCGAGGAAACCATCGAGGCCACCGTGCGCAAACGGAGGCTGTGTTTTGCGGGCTTCGTTATGCGCATGGAGGACAACCGCCTCCCCAAGCGCATGCTGCTGGGAGCGATGGCGGGGG